AGTGAAATAAGAACCCAAAGTGACATTAGTAACTTTTGGCTAGGACAAGGAGTGACAGGACCTCTTAGACATTGCTCGTGGGATATGAGGTGGCTCAGTCACTTTAGAAAACAGTTTGTTAGTTTCTTATAAAGTTAAACTAAGACTTCGCATGAACTAGCAGCCCCTTTTCTATTTTAACCCAAGAAAACCAAAAACTTAAGTTTAGACAAAAGCCTTTGTGCAAATGTACATAGTCCTTTTTTGTGGTTATCAAAATCTAGAAACAGCCCATGTCCTCTAACAGGCAAATGAATAAATAAATGAACTAGAGCACATCCATACAATGAAATGCTACTCAGCAGTAAAAAGGAACAAACTACTGACATAGGCCACGGTGCGGCTGAATCTTAAATACATCATGTTACGTGAAAAAAGCCGACTCAAAAGCCTACATACTGCATGACTTCATTTGACTTCCTGGGAAAGACAAAACTATAGTGACTGAGAACAGAGAGGGTTGCCAGGCAAGGGGCAGGGGTGGGAGGGCTGGGGGAGGAACTAACTCCAAAGGGGCAGCATGGAGGGATATTTCGGAAGATAGACCCTTCTGTATCTTGACTGTGGCCGTGTTCACATAACTATGCATTTGTCAAGATTCATAGAACCTTTCACCAAAAAGAGTGACGTCCACTGTATCAGTTAAAAACAATTTAAGACAACAGTAAGATATGAGACCAGTAGATGGTGTAATGGTTACCTTGCTGAACCCCCATGTAGTCGATCATGGTTCAAGTCCTGGACCTGGTAGCTTAAAAAACTCACTCTGGGCACATGTGCATGTGTGTCCAGTATCCTGAGAGGGAAATGGAAAACAAGGCATTGCAGTGTGGCTATCTCCCCGGGGAATGATTTCTTGCTTTCTGTCTCTCTGTCTCTTTCTGTCTGGCAAGCACATACACCCTATAGCAAAAAAAAAAACAAAAAAAAACAAAACTCTCTCTCTAAAAGAAAATTGAGAAGAGTGAGGTTTGATTGGGTCAGTGAAGTGCAGCTGGTACTGTCAGGTGCTGCACTCCAGGGAGCCGTGGAGCCTCAGAGGACGTGTGGAGAAGCTGGCCTGTGCGCGCGGCTGGACCGAACTGTGCTGTCCAGCCGTCCACTCTTGGATCATGGCACCATCATTGTGCTTCTCACATTCACAATCCGTCCCTGAGGCTGATATCCTGGCTACAGATAGAAGTCTGCAGCACCCAAGGAATCTACTGCACTGCGCTGCCCGCGGCTTCTGTTCTCACGGGCAGGTCAGGAGGCCGGGACTGGGAATCTATTTATGAATTAGGGATGATTTCAGCCTTCCCTCTTCCGAGAAGCTTTGCTTTTGTTTCACAGAGACAGTGGCTCAATCTTCGGTATGTCCTTGGAATTTCCCTTCTCTTCTTTTCCTTCAAGTTTATCCATTTACTTCTATGAGAGAGGTTCAGCTGGCACAGACCATGGGCACGCCCTTCCCCAGCATGCTCAGGGAAGTCCCAGGTCGCAAACCCAGGACCTTTCCCATGTGGGTTCAGTCCCATTATCTCTGCACCTCCACCTGGCCCCCTTGGAATCCTCCCTTCTTTCTGTGTGTACTGAGATGCAGCGTAACATGAGGGTGGCTGGAGCTATAGCGTCAGGCAGCCTTGGTTTAAATCCTGGCACTAGAGAAGGGATCTTGGACAAGTAATTCAACTACTTGTGGCCTCAGGTCTTCATCTCTAAGACGAGGAGATTAACAGCACCTACCTCATGGGACAGCCAAAGGATTAAATGACAAAAAGCATGTGCCTGCATAGCTCAGGTCCCGACCTGGTAAGCATGTAAGCATGTAACAAAGTCACTCACGGTTACTGTAGTCATTTTGATATGCCCCAAACACATTGTAACATGTGCCCCATTTTAGGCTCCTGAATGTAACACTCATGTACGGTGTTCGGTGTTCCTGGCAGATGGAGTGTAGCAGAAGTCCATGAACAGACTCAGGGCTTTTAGGTAATGCAAGCCCAGTATAAAGTCAGGGGTAGGGGTGTGGATGTGGTGAGGAAAACGTAATACAGTCAGGCTGCATTAACAGAGGCCTGTGTTCAGACCAGAGGAAGCGAGCGACACCCTTACTCTGTGCCAGCTGACCTCACCTTGGATGTGACGTTCAGTTCTGACAGTCACACCGGGTAAGGACACTTACAACGTGTAACATCAGTGGAGGCCGACAAGATGATGAGGCAACCTAGCACCCGTTTGTGTAAATAACAATTGGAGAGCTTTAGCTTGAAGAAAGAGTTGCTGGAGTCACGATAGCTGACGATCCTTAAATTTGTGTCCACTCCTTGTGGAAGAGTGGTTTGACCCATTATCTGTGCCCCTGTGGCAGTGCTGGCCAGTAGAACCAATAGAACTTCCTGTGATGATAGACATGTCTTCTAGCTACTAGACAGATGGGTGTTTTGAGCAATTAAATGTGGTCATGAACTAAATTTTTCATATAAATTTAATTAATACAAAATAATTACATGTGGTTACTGGATACAGTGTTGGACAGTGTGCTCTAGAGGGCAAATAGAAGAATAGGTCAGAGATCAGTGAATATGAAGGCAAAATAGTAAATATTTTGGGCTTTGTGGTTCCTACGTTGATGTTGCTCCTAATCAACTATGCTGTTGTTGTGCAAAGCAGTACAGATTAAAAAAAAAAAAAAGCAGTATAGATAAAAGGACAAATGTGGGGACAGCAGGTGACATGTATTAAAGCATTAGATCCCACATGGTCAACTGTGTGGTTCAAGTCTTGGACTTGGCAGCTTGGAAAACATACCTGGTGCATGTGTGTCCACGCCCAAAATCCTAAGAGGAGAATGGAGGAGAAGGGATTGTGATATGGCCATCCTCTCTGGGGGATGATTTCTCACTTTCCCTTTCTTTGTCTCTTTCTCTCTAGTGAGTGCATGCACCTCACAACCAAAATCTAAGAAAAAAATAAATAAAAAAAGAATGAATGTAGTATGTTTCAGTAAAACTTTTATCTATGGACATAGAAATTTGAATTTAATATAATTTTCTCATGTTGCAAACTATTATTCTTCTTTTGATTTTTCTCAGCTATTTAAAAAGATGTGAAAACCATTCTTAGCTCACAGGTCATACAAAAACAGGTAGCAGGCTGGACTTAGCCAGGAGGTTGCAGTTTGCTGACCCTGGTTTTAGACTGTGGGTGGAAGCTTCAGAAATTTATGTGTTAGTTCAATAAAGGAATGTGAGGGAACCAGCAGTTAGCGTAATGGCTATGTCGCTGGACTCCCACGTAGTCGACTGCGGTTCGTGTCCTGGACCCGCTGGCTTAAAACTCACACTGGGCGCGTGTGCATGCGTGCCCAAGATCCCGAGAGGAGAATGGAGGAGAAGGGATTGCTGCGTGACCATCCCCCCTGGGGGGTGATTTCTCGCTTTCTGTCTCTATGTCTCTCTCTGTCTGTCTGGCGAGCACACGCGCCCTACAGTGAAAATCTCTCCAAAAAAAATAAATAAAGGAATGTGATAATTAATTAGAGGTAGCCAGAAATGGAATGAGCATGCTCAGTAAGTGGCAAGTCTCTTGTTACTAAAGAGTTTAGGTACAGGCTGAATAATTAAGTGTCTGGCAAAGGATAATATACAGATGTGTCCACTTCAAACAAGTTTTTTTTTTTTTTAAGAATTATTTAATTTAATTTATTATCATTATCTTTTATTTTGACCAGACACATACACACACACCAGACACATACACACACACACAGAGAGAGAGAGAGAGAGAGAGAGAGAAAGAGAGAGAGAGAGAAGAAAAGTGAGAAAGCAAGCTGCCAGATTCAGGACTTGAACTGTTGTCAACCATGTAGGAGTCCAGTGCCTTAACACCATGCCACCTGCTGGCCTCAATACAAGTTGATACTAGAGTTTTCTTCTAATTCCATAGGAGTTTTGAAATCAGGATGACATACAGCTGCTTTAAAATTGTCCTTGCCTTGCAGAGGGAAGTTGTTTTTCCACACTTGGTACTTACACTCAGTCCATGTTGCTGGATCAGTGATGCTTGGGGGTGATGAGCTGGCTTCTTTGCTTCAGCCATTTTGCCTCATGTTCAGAGACCTTGGGATCTACTTGGGTGTATGTGGGGGTGGGGAGGTTTCATTATGTCCATTTATATGCACTATGAGAGACCTTTTCTGAGAGTACTTAAGGTCTTCACACCACCTCGTTCTGTCATTTAGTGCCCCTGCAGCAGACAGGGTGGTTGGGGTCAGGATGTGGGCTTGAGAACTTTCGCCTCTCAGTTGGTTTTCTGTGGATGTGCCTCACTTCATTCTGTGACAAGCTGGTCACCTCCAACCTTCTCCCCTCTGAGAAACCATTGCTCTCTGGGCCGCTCTGAGCCTTTGATCTGAATGAACTTCAGGACCGAAGTCCAAAGTACTAAGCTTTAAAGCACTGACTGCCCAGAGGCTAGTGTCCAATGGTGGGTGTCTGGAGAACTGGTTACTTCTGCCACCTGCAACGCTGCTGGCTTGTTTTTCTGCCTTCCCTTTTGCCTGATTTCTGTCCATTTTACTTCCAATCATCATTTCAGCCAAAATATATAAACATAAAAAGTAAACAGCTCTTCCCGTAAGGAAGCTGACAGTACTGGTTTGAAGTTTTAAATCTTTTATGCTTTTATCTAAATGCCACCCACCTTCACCTCAATAGTTTCTTCTACATTTTCCCAAAGCATAGGATACTGAAAAAACTTTATTTAGAAAAATCTAGACCATGCAAAGTAGTGAGAAGAATATAATCAACCCCATAGGTCCCTCACTGGCTTCCACAGTAACCAGCTCCTGATAGTCTCATGCCATCTGTACCCTCTTCCTGTCTCCTACATAGTTTTGACACAGACCTACAGCAAGCATTTGACATGGCGTATTGACTCACCTGTGCACTAACATCTTGATTCTGTGTATTCTGTTTCAGATCATTGCCTTTGATGAGTTAAGGACGGATTTTAAGAGCCCCATAGACCAGTGCAACCCTGTTCATGCGGTACGTAGTGGGTTCTGGTGATGGGAAGGTGGTGTCAGTACAGGCTTCCCAGGACCTGTGAAAGAGGCTGAGTATTTGAGTCAGTAGGATAAGTAAAGAGCACACTCACTCTTGACTGTGCCTCCACACCTGGTCACAGCTGTTGAGCAGCTTTCTTGTTCTTGAGGCCTGCTGAGGTCCTGAGATATCTTAAAAGTCAAGTATGACAGTCTAGAAACACAGGGAAGCGTCTGCTATGTGGTGGCTGTTGAGTCCTGAAGGTCTGGTGTTAGTGTCACTCATCCTTGAAGGAGAAAGTTTGCATGTTGGCCACAGTGCGTGCAGGGTGTGCGAGCACCAGGAGTGAGTGTCCCACCCTGCACCCTATGCTCGGTGCCAGGTTTTTCAGATGGAGACTTGGAGAGTAGGTTGACGCCTTGAGCTGTTAGTGCCATACTCATCACCCAGCGTGTATTCACCTCAGGTGGTTCTGGAGCCTGAGGTCGGCTTGCCTCCCGCTGGGATACTGATGTATTCTGGTTGTTCTGGCTGGCGTTCAGAAACACCGTCTGTTCCAACACGCTCGCCTTCCAGAGTCTACCTGTTCATCTTGTTTTTGGGCTCTGCATGCTGCTCTCCTGTCTGCAGTGGCCTCGCCTCCCCTGGGAGCCTCTGAATGGAGGTGGGTGGGGGTGGGCATGAGGGTTGGCTGTTTGCTTCTCTGGTCAGTGCAGCCTGTGTCTCAGAGCCAGGGGCCAACCATACATTTGTACAGAGCCTTTTCCAAACTTACTCTAGACCAGCACTGCTGGGTTCAAAGCATGGAACACACATTGTGTACTCAAGCTTGTTTCTCAATTCAAATTCACTACTTCTTGTGTTTAGTGAAGTTCCTTCCAGACCATGGTTTCCAGTGTAAAGGCAAGCTTTTGTCTGTGTAGCTTTTTTGATCTTTCCATTAGAGGTTGTAGAGAGATCAAGCCTTTATAATGTGATATCAACTTAACTTGGAAGCAACAGGGACAGAGCTTAGCTGTGGACTCCCTGAAGAAGGATATGTTTCAGGGAGGTCCCAAAAGACCATATGGTAAGATCAGACTTCAGAGCTTCCTTACCCTCTGTAAAGGGTTATAATCAGAGTGTAATTTTTTTTTCATCTTTACTGTGTGCTATTGGGAACTGTATATACACAATCTGTAATTCTCACAATGACTCTACCAGACAGGCATCATTAACCCAATTTGTAGACCATAAAACTGACTCTATTCTCCAGGGACTTAGCTCCTAAATTTATTTTGGTAGTGGAGACAGGACTTGAACCCAAGTCTGCTTATCTGAAAAGCCTGTCTTTTTACCACTTACTCCACAAAGAGACTTCAAAAAGTTCACAGAAAAATGTAATGGTTGTCAGAAAAGTCATGATGTATTTTCTGTTTTTCTATGCAAAACTGCATTATGACTTTTCTGGGACTCATAGAATATGAGTTTAGATTGGTGCAAAATATTTTTGAAATCTCTGTACTTTTTCTTTCTTTCTTTTTTTTTTTAATAATACACACTTGCTATGAACCTTTTGAAGACCTCTCCCCATTGTTGTTTAAGAGCTCTTTTTTTTTTTTTTTTTTTTAGAAGTTTTTTCTATAGGGCGCGCACACTCTCCAGAAGACAGAGAGACAGGGAGATAGAAAGGAAGAAATCACCCCCCGGGGGATGGCCACGCCACAATCCCTTCTCCTCCATTCTCCTCTTGGGATCTTGGACATGCACGCACACACACCCGGCGTGAGTTTAAGCCACTGAGTCCAGGACTTGAACTGTGGTCGACTACATGGGAGTCCAGCGACATAGCCATTATGCTAACTGCTGGTCCCAGAGCTTTGATTTTTATAATGTTTGAGGCTTCCTTTAGTATCACGTTTTTAGATTCTATGAAATAGAGCCAAACCCTTTCAAAGTAAATTGTGTAAATAAAATTTTGTTGCAAGTTGGGAGGATTCCCAAGATCCCTTAAAAACTTACTGTATTTCGTGAAACTTATAATTATTAAAATCCATTTTGTTTTCATCTGCCAGCCCCACCATCCACCTGAGTGACTTGGACTCATCAGGTGTGAAAAGGTTTCACCCTGGGTCTCCCGTCTCTCTGGGTGTTTTATATTTGGCACCAACATCACACACCTGGCCTGTCAATAGCTACCAGGTGCACAACGCAGTTCTAGCCTGAGAGAACAAGTATTTCCATTTAGCAATGCCAGGGAAGACAAGAACCTGCCTTCCTTTCTCCTAATTGTTTGGGCTCAAGTTAAAACTGTACTTTTTCTTTCTTTCCCAGAGCTTCATTTTAGCACATCCAGAGCTTCCTTGTAGGATCCCAGGGTAAATACTAGTGAGGAAATTTGTCCTGCTACTCAGTTTCATCACTTGAATTTCACGCTAGGTTGCAGATGACACTGAGTTTTTTTTTTTGTGGAGCCCTTTTCCACATCAAGCCCTTTTCCAATCTCCTTTTCATGGCAAATCTCTTATTTTAGACAGAATAAAGAAAATTAGGACTAGTGTAAACTCCCCAGGAAGCTTTTGTGAAGGCCCATGCAAGAACAGTACCTGCATGTGCAGAGGGACATTGAACAGTTCATGGGAAAATGGGATTAAAGTATGAGTTTGTTTTGGTGGAAAAAAAAAAATTGAAATCCAGATAGTTTTTTTTATAATACTCATTTCCATGAATGTTTTGAAGAATGTTCATTGTTGGTGCACAATAACTATTTGTTGATGAAGGAATGAATGAATGAACATCGAAGGTGAAGTTTAGAGGACAGAAGCTGCATCTCAAACTCTTTTTTTTTTTGTTAACGCATATTATTTAAAGTTACACTTCTAATGAATTAATGAATTAATTAAGGAGCCTGGGCCCTGTGAAGTCCAGGCATTTTATGGACAGACCAAATCCCCTAGGTGCTCCTAGGAAAACAACTCTTTGCTGGAATAAAAAAATAAATAAATAAGTAAATAAACAAACATCATAAAAACCCTAAATGGGAGCATATTTGACACATTTTCCCAGTTCCTATGATGTTTCTCCCTGGCAGGAAATTAAGCACTTAGGATGCCTCATTTAACTCATCTTTAAGCTCCATAGTTCTCTGCAGACCACCCAAAGCAGTATTTTAGGCTCGAGTGGCTTAGAAAAGCGATTTCACTGACTAGGGAATCAGGCCCTGGAAGGATTTATGTTACGTATAATTGCTGATCTGTATGATGCGTTTTTCAATGAGGGCATGAGGCCCATTTGGATTTCAGATGCCCCAAAGCTCCAAATATTGCTGGGCCCTCTGATGGATGCCCTACTGGGGGTGGCAGTGGGAATAGAAAGGAGGAAGACTGCTGTTTCGCCCTCATTTCTCATGTTTTCCCTTCCCTTTGCTGGCTCAACATTCATGATCATTTTAAACTAATGAGCTCTGGCTTGCTGGGGAAGGAGGTGGCGTGTGTCCGCTAGCACCCTGTCTTGTGCGTGTGAGTGCATGTGTGTGTGTGTGTGTGTGTATGCACACACGTATATTGAGGAGGGTGTGTTCTGTCTTCCTGGCCACACTAGTGCCTGACGTGGGCTCCTTTTGGACATCCAGGATGCACAGGAGTTACTGTATTTACGATTCAATTAGGGAAACGGAAATGTGCCAGCCACCTGTCCACTCCACTTCCATGAGGAATCTCATTACCATTACATCTACAGCAACCAAATTGCCTCAGTAATGAAGCACAGGGAGATGCCACAGCTGTGTTCACTATGGTTTCAGAAATTGTGACAGCCTCTGCAGGAAAGGGAGGCAACGGCAGTTAGTGTGAGATGCAGCATCACCTGCCCAGCCATGGAGCATCTTCCTTTGGCAGCAAGCCAGGCCCAGGAAATGGACTTAGACTTCTTGAAAAGTCTTGCCTGGGGACACTGTTGGTGCCTAATTTAGTGGGAGAGATTGATTCCTCTAAGGATACGCATTAGAAGAAGAAAACCAGTTGGACAGAGAACTTGTCTGCTTTAGACACTAATGAGGGTGCATTTGCTCTTCCAGACCTGAGTGGGGCGTTCTTGGGAGGGCTGCGGGCAGGCTGAGGATGCTCAATGAAGACGTGGCGTGCATGCTACAATTTGGCCATTTATGTGTACATGGCAGAGAGAGACTACACCTGTGGAATAAAGTACAGAAACATGCTGGGCTGAGAGGGGGAAGCAAGCTCATGCTGTTTGCTGGGCGAGTTCTGCTAAGAGCAATCGCTATCACCAGATAGATGGGAGGAGAAAAGCCAGAAACTCTTTTTAGAAAAAGTCCCTGGGTGGGAGCATGCTAGCCATGCACAGAAGAGGGGTCTCTGGTGGGTTTCACCTCCTCTCCTGGGGCTGAATGTGAGGCTTCTCATGTTTTTCAGCAGACCCCCTCACCTCCCCTCTCCTTTCTTTCTTGTGCATCCTGATAGAGGGAACGGCTGAGGAACATCGAGCGCATCTGCTTCCTCTTGCGAAAGGTCAGTGGGCAGCCCATGCTGGAGGGCGGAGGGTCCTGTGGGGGTGGGTGGTCCGACAGAGGCTGGTGAGGCTCAGGGCCTGCTCCAGCGTCTCCCCATGAAGCAAATGGCAGTGGGGGAGGACAAGGTGAGAGCAAATGGAAACCTCTAGAGTGGAGAGGAGCTAATTAAAACTGGTGGCCATCAGTCAATGTGTCAGGACTGCCTGGGTATTTGCAAGGGCCCTCTGGTTGGATTGAGAGGCTCTTAATCTCCGCATGTTGATGGATGGCATTTACAGCTGCTGTGACCTCCCAGCCTTTGTTCCTGTCTGGTGCTGGGCTCAGGAAGAATGCACTGTCTGGCTTAGGGAAGTTTTCATCTGCAGGCCAGGTTTCTTTGGAGGTTGCAGCCTGTCACTCAGCTTTCCAGTTTGATTGGCAGCATCAATGGGAGTGCCAGAGGGGTAGGTTGGGGAGGTATTCTTAAAGGGGAAGCCACTCATTGAGAGATCTGCTCTGAATGGATGACAGTAGGTCACAGCTGCCACTGAACCCATTTAGGAAGCTCATGCTTAGAATAAAGCACAATTTGGAGTAGAGCGTTGTCACTGGCCAGCCATGAGAGTGTGTATTTTTTGCAGCACAATGTAGAGACAAGCAATTTGCAGCTAAAATAAGCGGTGTCCATAGTCTTGAGTCAAAGGCCACCACTGACTTCTGAGAGGACAGGCTACAGGCCCCAGGGAAGCCACCTGTCAGCCCAAAAGGAGTTTGTGAGCCTTCTGAGAAGAAAGGAGAAACCAAATGCTACACCATCGCTGACAGAAGGGAAACAATTTTGCAAGCTTTTGAAGTTTTTTCTCTGTATTTCAGAAATGTTACCTTTCATTGGGAGAGAGCTTAATCACAAAGCCAATTATTTTCCTAGCTAATTACTTGCCCTTTAATGTTTTCGAAAAAAACATTAAATGTTAGAATTTCACATCTTTTATGTCACAGCAGGAAAGTATGCTCAGATAAGGCAGGCATTTGAAAATACTAGCAATCCAAGGAATAAAGAACGATTAAGAAAATAGTTTATAACATGAATCCATGAATTTATAAATTATTTTGTTAGATAATATCTTAGCCACCCATAACCTGCCTCAGCTATCACTTCCATAGTTTCTGGTTTGATTTTGAAGACGGACACGAAAGGGGTACAGGAATGAATCATGACACAAATCGAAGCTTTATCTCTTAAGACTCCAAGTTGTGCCCCCCACCCTCCTGAATGTACCATCTTATATTCTCTCCAGAGAATATTCTATCCATGTCCATGACATTTGCTCATCCTTCTGTATTACTTACGACTGACGCTAGAAATGGCCCATAGCTACTGCTGTCCAGGTCCTGCTGTGGACAGCCTTATGGCCCTGGCCCTTTCAAAGGTCAGAGGGAAGGAGAGAAGAAAGCTTTCACACGAATTAGCATTACCATTTGCAAATTTGCATACAGTTTGCATATGTTTCTATAAACAGTAGACTGAGGAATTTTATTCCAGGAATCATTGTACTGCAAGCATCTTTTCCTGTTTTTTGCCTTTTTCATTTCCTTCCTGCCTTCCTTCCTTCCATTTACTGCCTCCACCGCTTCTGTGAAGTTCAATGCAACTGCCATTCCTTGTAGAGGAAAATCCCAGGAAGGTGAAAGTTCAAGATAGACATCAAAGGACATGAAACACTGACTTCAAGACTTTAGGTGTTACAACTGTACCTTCTGCAGCCTAAAGGTTTTTTAGTTTTCACAGGGGTGGCCAGTACTCCCTTGATTAACTGGAGGCAGAAACAAGCCCCATGCCTGTGGCCTTATCTCTTTAAGGAACCTTCCTCCTACTCCAGCCCTCGTGCAGAATGTACGTCTGTCCTTTTAACACTTGGCTCTGTTAGTTCTTTACCTCTGTGTCTGTGTGCCCTGGATATGCAAGATCATTTTTATTGATGTCAACATGAATTTTTGGTGGATATAATTTCAAGTTATTGGGACCAGCAGTTGGCGTAATGGATATGTCACTGGACTCCCATGTAGTCAACTGTGGTTCGAGCCCTGGAACTGGTGGCTTAAACTCACACCAGGCACGTGTGCGTGTGTGCCCAAGATCCCAAGAGGAGCATGGAGGAGAAGGGATTGCGGCATGGCCATCCCCTGTGGGGGGTGATTTCTCACTTTCTGTCTCTCTGTCTCTCTCTGTCTTTCTGGCAAGTGCATGTACCCTATAGCAAAAACCTCTCCAAAAAAAAAAAAAATCAAGTTATTGTGCTTCTGATTTGCATTGATGTCTAGGTGTAACTCTCATGTTCTTTAGTTTAATTTGATAACTTTCTGTGTTCTCACAGGTGCATTTAGATACTGGTCATGTAGGTCTGCTTCCCCCTAGTAGAAAGCCAATTCTGGAAGGTCAGCAACTTTATTCCACTCACTGTCATGTCTAGTGGCAGAGAATGTAAAACCATACATAGCCCATTGAAGGAGCTCAATAAATACTGAGAGTGATGAATGAGGACTAACTTTCTAGATTTATAGGAATAATCGAAATCTTTCTTGTCAGGAATACTAGAATAATCAATGCTTTTTCATTTCTTTATTTTAATAATGTCTATGACACGGCACACAATTTCCGTATTTTATTACCACTATAAGATTTCATTTTTAACATCAAATTTAACTCAATAGTGTATTCTTTTTTTCTTTCTTTTCTTTCTTTCTTTTTTTTTTTTTTTTTTTTAGAGAGATTTCTGCTATATGGAGCATGCACTCACTGGAGAGACAGAGACAGAAAGTGAGAAATTCCACCCCCCACCTCCGGGGAGGGGAGGGATGGTCATGCTGCAATCCCTTCTCCTTTATTCTCCTCTAGGGATTTCGGGCATGCACACACACATGCCCGGTGTGAGTTTTAAGCCATTGCGTCCAGAACTTGAACTGTAGTAGACTACGAGGGAGTCTAGCGACATAACCATTATGCCATCTGTTGATCCCTCAATAGTGTATTCATTTTTGACACAGAAATTTTCCAACCGATTTTTCCTCCAGTCTCCTGCCTTTCCTTTATATGTATCCATATCCTCTGTCCTCTTTGTGGTCTATGTCTTAATCCTCCTAATATCCTCTCAGCCTAATCTGGGTCCTTGAGAATTGGGGTAATGATGATGTATGCAACCTTCTGCTACTTCCAAAATCCTGCCTCTGGCCTTATTCTCTGTGTGACTCTAAAGCAGAGCTAATAATAACAGTACCTCCCTAGAGATGTTGTGAGAAGTGAATGAGATAGTGCACATACGTCTAGTTCGTGTCTAGTTCATCTAATACTTACTGGATGTTATTGTCATTCTAACCCTCAGTTCCTGCCTAAAATCCTTTGTAGCATCTCTAAGCACACACGTGGTCCTGAGTGAAGCTGAGGTACTCTGTGGCTGGTGCCATCTGCCTAGTGCCCTGTCCTGTTTTCTTGATATTTTTGCAGCATCATAAGGCAGGAGTACTGGGCCTCCTCCCTGCTGTCTGTGGCAGTTTGGATGGGCGTCTGAGTCCATATTCCCAAGCTGCAAGTGCTTGGGAGTGATGGGGAGGGTTAATGGGTCTAGTTAGCATCACCATCTTCTGGGAGCTGTACCTTCCAAGAAAATTTCTTGGAACTAGTCTCCTAAACACCCCGGAATGTGAAGCATCTCAGCAGCTGATTGTTGTTAAACCACCTCCTCAGCTTTCTCAGGAGAGAGGAAGGGATTTTCAGAGTGGATCCATTTTTAGCTTTGTAATTATCAGAAAATGGTGTTCTTTGGATAATTGTCTGAACTGCAGGAATCTTATGCTGACTTGTGCTTATAATTCATTTTTCATGGCAAAAGCCACTTATTCCTTGGGTGTCTGTCCCCACCAGAGCATGCCGTGGGCTCGATGAGGCTGCTGTGAAGTGCAGGGCGACACATCATGGAGGGCAGACGGTGCTTTGGTGGCTGCTTTCAGGTGCTTACAGGGTTCTCCTGGGAAGGAGACTGACCAGCAGCCTCCTGTTGCATCTGCAAATTTAGGGACTGGTTCAGGGAAATAAACTTAAGTGTGAGCCCAAGCAACTGGAATGAGAATAAGGAGAAACTTTTTTCATAAATGCTGGTCATCAAACCTTGAGATTGGTTGTCCAAGAAGGGATCTGTGACATTGTCATCCCTTAGACCAAGTCAGACAAATTTATGTCTGAGTTTGTTTTTTTTTGGATGCATGTACTGGTTAGGGAGAAAGAGAGAGAGAGAGGTAGAAAAACAGAAATAGTGAGAAGGAAACTGAGAAATCACCCCCCAGGGGGGATGTCCATGCCACAATCCCTTCTCCATTTCTCCTCCTGGAATCTTAAGCATGCATGCCCACACACTCGGAGTGAGTTTCAAGCCATGGAGTCTGGGACTCAAATGGCAGTCAGCCACGTGGGAGTCTAGTCACATAACTGCTACACCATCTGCTGGTCCCTGTCTGAAATGATATTTTAGTTAGAATGAGCCTGTCCAGAGGAAGGAAGGAGGTGCGATAGTGGTTCATTCAGCAGTTTGTCCTTTCTGGCTGGACAGTTCTGAGTTCACATCCTAATGCTCAAGAGTGTGTCCAGTCCTATCACAAGGTTTCTGTTATTTGTGAATGGAAAAAGAGCTAGTGGTTGGGTAGTTCTCATTCTTCTATGAAGTATTTTCCTGGGGAAATGGAAGAGAAGGAGGATTAAATGGGGTGTGGGGAGTAGGGCTGTTTGGGAGACTTGCTTCAGGTGTAATACTGGAAAGAACACAGCAGTGACAGGACCACAGGTATTCTGCTAATGGCACCTATGCCTCTTGCCCTTTCAGGCTTCTCAGACCCATCCCTTTGTGTAGGAGGAGTCATGTGTGAAGGGCAGTTGTGAGCAGCAGCCTGAAGCCATTGCAGAAGGTCCTCAGTGTGGCTCTGAAAGCAGGTGTTGAAGGCCATGCGAATGGAGTTGACACTTTTACAGGG